GAGAAAAACCCCCTCTGGGGTCCTTGGGTCCTTCCTGGGTCTGTTGTCGCGCAGGCCGGGAGCTCCCGCGCAGGCCGGGAGCTCACGCGCACGCCGCCGGGTGATCGCAGACCATGAATACCTACTTTGAAAACCTATACTCTAATAAAATGGAAAACACAGCAGAAGTGGACAGATTTCTAGATACTTATGAATTAACAAAGTTGAATGAAGAAGATAAAAAAATTCTAAACCCTCCAATTACAATCAGTGAAATTGAAAATGTAATTAAAAGTTTACCGATGAAGAAAAGCCCAGGTCCTGATGGATCAACTGCTGAATTTTACAAGACATTTAGAGTAGAACTACTGTCACTACTCTTTAAATTTTTCAATGAAATTGAAAGGGAAGCAATACTTTCAAATTCATTCCTGGAAGCAAGTATTACTTTCATTCCCAAACCAGGGAAAGACCCAACTAAATAAGCAAACTACAGGCCAATCTCCTTAATGAGCATAGATGCAAAAATCCTTAATAAGATACTGGCAAACAGAATACAGAGGGTCGTTAAGAAGATCATACACCCTGACCAAGTCAGATTTATTCCAGGGATGCAAGGATGGTTCAACATACATAAATCAATAAATGTAATTCACTATATTAAGAGAGTCAAGGACAAAACCATATGATCTTCTTCATAGATGCAGAAAAAGCATTTGACAAAATTCAACACCCATTCATGATAAAAACCCTGCAACTGCAATTGGAATAGATGGTCTATATCTCAATTTAATAAAGGCTATCTGTGAAAAACCAACAGCCAACATCATATTAAATAGCCAAAAACTGAAAACCTTCATGTTAAAATCACAGAACAAGACAAGGATGCTCACTATCACTCCTGTTCAATGTAGTTCTGGAAACATTAGCCACAGCAATTAGACAAGAGAAAGAAATTAAAGCAATAAAGATAGGAACAGAAGAAGTTAAACTGTCACTATTTGCTGATGAGATGATACTCTATATTGAAGACCCAAAAAATTTGATAGAAAGACTTGTAGACTTAATTGACACTTTTAGCAGAGTAGCTGGATACAAGTTCAACACTCAAAAATCAATAACCTTCTTGTACACAAATAACAGGCTTACTAAGAGAGAAATTAGGGAAACAATTCCTTTCACAATAGCATCCAAAAAAATTAAGTATCTAGGAATCAATCTGATGAAGGAAGCAAAAGACCTCTACATTGAAAAATACAGCACTCTGAAAAAAGAGATCAAATAGGACATAAGAAAATGGAAAGATATCCCCTGCTCCTGGATAGGAAGAATCAACATAGTGAAAATGGCCATACTACCAAACTGCTATACAGATTTAATGCAATGCTGATTGAAATTCCAACAGCATATTTCATAGAACTAGAAAAAAGAATCCAAAAATTCATTTGGAACCAGAAGAGACCTAGAATAGCAAAAGCCATCCTAGGCAACAGAGACATTTCAGCAGGTAGGACAATTTCGAATTTGAAACTATACTACAAATCCACTGTGATAAAAACAGCATGGTAGTGGCAAAGAAACAGACCTGAGGACCAGTGGAATAGATCGGAAGATACAGAAACAACGCCAGATGTATTCAATTACCTCATGTTTTACAAAGAGCATATGATCCTCACTGTAGGAACGATAGCTTCTTTAATAAATTGTGTTGGAAAAACTGGATTTCAACCTGCCAAAGATTAAAACTAGACACTTATCTTTCACCATGAACTGAACTAAAATCCATGTGGATTAAAGATGTAAATATTAAAAAAGAGATACTAAATTTCCTGGAAGAGAAGTTAGGCAGAACCCTTGAAGACACTGGCATAGGAAAAGACTTTATGAACAAATCATTAGTAGCATGGGAACTAGAACAAAGAATTAACAACTGAGATCTCATCTTACTAAAAAGCTTCTGCATTGCAAAAGAAACCATCAACAGAACTAAGAGATAACCTACAATGTGGGAAAAAAATTTTACCAGCCACTCCTCAGACAAAGGACTATTATCTAGAACATATAAAGAACTAAAAAAAAATGAGGTCCCCAAATATAAAGAACCAATTAAAAAATGGGCATCTAAAATGAACAGACCTTTCTCAAAGAAGTAAAAGTATCAAATAAATATATGAAAAAATCTTCCACATCACTGGTCATTTGAGAGATGCAGATGAAAACAACACTGAGATTTTACTTCACCCCATGAAGAATGGCTACTATCAAGAAATTAACAAATAACAAATGTTGGCAGTGTTGTGGGGAGAAAGGAACCCTTCTCTATTGTTGGTGGGAGTGCAGACTGGTGCAACCACTATGGAAGTCAATATGGAGATACCTCAAAGAGCTGGGATTAGAGGTTCCATTTGACCCAGCCATCCCTCCGCTGAGTATGTTTCCAAAAGAATTAAAACAATCATACTACAGTAATATATAAGAGCCCATGTTTATAGCAGCACAGTTTGTAATAGCTAAAACTTGGAAACAGCCCAGTTGACCATCAGTTGGAGACTGGATAAAGAAGATGTGGTTTTTCTATAAATGGACTACTACTAAGCCATAAAGAATGAGATATTAGAGTCATTCACAGTAAAATGGATGCATATTGAGGTCATACTCTTAAGTGAAACAAATCAGTCACACATGTGTAAATACCGAATAGTTTCTTTTGTGTGAAAAACTATAATTGTAAATAAGATCTTAATGGTATAACTGACAATGTGAAATAGGAAGAAAAGGGCTAAAGGTGTAGGGGCATTAGGAAGGGTAGGGGAAGGGAAATAAAGGAAAAGAAAAAAATTTGAGAAAATGAAAAAATGGAAATAAAGCTTCTGTAAATAGGGAAGGGAGGAGGGGTGAAGGGAGGGCAGGCGTATGGGGAAAAAATGAGAACCAAGACCTGTCATGTAAAGGTACAAGATCCCAATGATGATTGTAACTTTACTGTATACCTAAAATGTACCAATAAACTCAATGAGAAAAAAAAAACCATGTAAGCATTCAATTCTCAAAAAAAAAAAAAAAAAAAACACCAAACCAAACCAAAACAAAAAAAACCACTTCTCTGGTGAATATCTATATTGATAACCATGCAAGTACAAGTAGTATTTTAGTTTGTGGAACCCTTTATGTAAACTTGAATATGTCTTCTGGTCTACTCTAGCCAGATAAGATTTTTTCCTCCTGTAGTTTCTATAGCTTGTACTTCACACAGTCTTACTAAGTATTACAATTGTTTTTATGTACTTCCATATAGATGCCTTTCACTCTGTTAGACTGCAAAGTGGTTTTTATGTGTATCTTTACTAGAATTCAATGCCAGGAAAAAAAAAGATTCAAAATAACAATAAATAAAAATATTTAGTTTTGAATCTCAATTCATAGAAGTTATGTGGGAAAAGGCAGATATCATTATAATTTTCAATTTCTAATTAATCTACATACATGATCTTATTTGATGATTGATGTATCCTGTCATGACTGATACAATACTCTGGATATAATATAAAAATATTTACATTCTGATATTTCTAATGTGAGGATATTTATTTGATTTTAATGAAACATCTTCAGAGAAAAAGTTGGTTGGAGTAGAGAAAATTGTCTAAAAACCAATCTTAAGAAAAACTGATATCAACAAAGGGTTCTTCTAATGATGTGTACATGAAATCATAATGTTTCCTAAAATAAGAAAAGAATGTTTATTGAAAGACTTACCAGAAGTGGTATTATTTGTAACATATTTTTGATGGATGGACTTTTGCAAATGGTTTCTTGTACATCTGAAAAATTGCACCATAACACAAAAACAATTTAGTTATGTATAGTGAAAGAGAATGACTATAGAATCAAATATTAAAGTCTGATTTTTCAAAATATTAAAAAATGAGTAAGAGATTTTTTCTGTTAGTACTAGAAAGTCTTTATTAATATAAAACATAAGTTGCTTAATTATAATTATATAAAATTTATACTGATAAAATGGAACTCCTAGTACTTTGACTATTATACAACAAACTTTATTCAAATGTTATGTTTTTCTTTTTTTCTTTTCTTTTAACCAAATTATCATTTTTCCTTATAGGCTTTCATGAAAAAGGCCATATTTAGCTATTGAGGCACAAAATTTGAGTAATTTAATTAATGCTTGCCTCTTCAATATTTAGGCTTTTGCCCATATAGTAAGAATTCAATAAAAGAAAAATCAGGCAGAATCTTTCATGTGATTTTAT